GTGAGTGGTTCAACCAGGGGCAGACGGGCATATTTACAGGGGGGCAACAACCGAAGCGAGTCTTGGCGGCTGCCTTGCTCACCCCTACATTTTGCTGGTTACATTCAGCGACGGGTGCGCTGTTTGATTCGACGCCTGCTTGCTTCTCAAAGGATCCTTCCGCCGCTTATGTAGATCATCGTCTGGTGCGATGGAGCACGAAGTCAGCAGAACACAAGCTAAAAACCTCAATGCCTCCTCGCCAAGTCGAGAGGCTGGAGATTTTCAATGTCAGCACCGACCTGGGCATAGTACTAGGAGTTGAAGGCATCCGACATGGCGTACAACCTTCGTCCGAGTTCGAGGGACCCCTCACCGCAATCTCAAATGAGAGATCAACAGTACAGCGTCTCGCCGGTCTCACCGAATCTCTCCCGGCGCACATCGGAGACACGACTGGGGCCGACTGATGCGGAGCGGCCGTCATCGGAAAGCCGCGTCAAGCGCGCCGGCGGCCCTGAGTCCCAAGTTGCTGAAGTCAACGACCCGCTAGTCTCTGTTGATGGGCAGAATCAGACAAGATCGTACAAGCCCGTTGCCACAGATGACCAGGCCCATGGCAACATCTCAGGCCGCAGAAATTACAATGCCACGGCGCCCACCATCTTCGCCGACTTCGCTGTCGTTGTCTTGCCGTTAGCTGTGATTGTCTTCATTGTACTAGTATGGCGCCTCGACGGCTCGCAAGTTGGTGACGACCTCTCAGCCTGGGAGAACGCAATCACCGTGGTATGTAGAGCCGCCGTCATAATTACCAAAGAAGAGTCGACTATGGGTATGATGATGCTGACAATTTGAACATAGCTTGCCACGGCATTCCCTATCCTCTTTGCGTCGGTTATTGGCCGTCTGATGTCAGAGGCCGCTCGATGGAAGCTTGAGAAGGGAGGAACCATGGGCTTCCTCGAGCAGCTCATGGGCAGCAGGACCGTTGGCTCAACTGTGATCACCCTTTTCCAACTCCGAACGTTGAATTTCGTCGCTATTGGACTGTTCCTCGTCTGGGCGTGTTCACCCCTAGGAGCACAAGCCTTTCTGCGTATGATGGACACGAGTCTCGTACCTGATCCCAGCCCCGTCTACATAGCCTATTTCGACACGCAAGCGCCTCTCGCGGATGGCGTATCGTCGGGACAGGGTAGCAGCGTCGTCGACAGTCTGAACAGACCGAAGCTTGCGAGTCTGGCAACTCTGTACACGATCCTCGTAGGAACGCCGAAGGCGAACAAGATCGACGCCATGGACCTGTGGGGGAACGTGAGAATCCCTTACTTGAGTGCGGATGCAGATGGTACGTGGAGGAGCATCTCGAACAACCCCGAAGAGGTCGAATACTCTTCCTTGGCAGGTGTTCCAGTCCACTATGCTGGAACTGGAAACGCAACTTTCTCGCTGGAGTCGAGCTACATCCACCTCGTGTGCCCAAACGCTACCAAGTTCCCCGCTTCGGATATTGCCAAGGGCACTGCGAACAGGACAGCCAAGGCCAACGTGACGACCGATTATATGACTGAGGAGTACCCTAATGGAACATGGCGAGGATACGACTACCAACGAGGCTCCGGAGGCTACATCTCAACTCAATGGGGAATTGCCATTGACAGGTTCGTTGACTTGTACTGGATAACCCATGGAAAGGAGGGACAGGGATGGGACTGGATGCCAGCATATGCAGACAACGGAAGCCTGGCCATGTTTTCCAACGAGACCGGAATCACCGCAGGTCCGACGAAATTTCTGCTCCGAATGGCTCTGGCGCAACCTCAAATCACCAAGAAGAACCGCGACAACCTGGAGATCAGTTGCGACATCACCCAGAAGTACGTTGAATCTCGCGTCAGCTGCTCGTTTCTCGCGGGCCAGCGATCTTGCCGAGTCATCGAGCAGCGATTGTCGCAAAAGACCCATGCACCGGAGCAAATCACCCAACTATCTTTCCCTCGATCTTTCGACTTCTTCGCCGGCGAGATGCCGGTCGCCACAGGCCGGGATATGACCGGCTTCATCGACCCGACTTTGTACTATCTCAAAGACCCGACCTACGAAAACATCTCGTCTGGCACGGCAGTCCTGATGGACGAACTCGACACTTCCAAAGTCGGCGCACGCTTTGGGCAGTTGCTTAACACGTATCTCACCCTCAGCCAAGTTTCCAGCACGATTGCAAACACCAGCGCCGAAGCGGATGCCGTTTTCCAGCCCAACATCACCTTCCTAGGGGAGTCGTCGACCCTGCTGGAGACATACGTCATCTCAAAGCTGTGGATATCACTTTGCTTGCTGTCTGCCGTCGTTCTTCTGGCGGGAGGCATTCTCAGCGTCGTGTTCATCCACTTGACCCACGGCCCTGAGATTCTCGGCTACGTCTCCACGACGATCCGGAACTCGAAGTACATCGATTTGCCGTCAAGTACAACTTGGCTGGATGGCTCGGAACTGACCAATGAGCTGAAGAAGTTGAGGATAAGGTACGGGTTCATTCGCGACGAGTCGCGGCAGCCGGTTATGGCCGTCGGCCATGAAGAGGAAACTGCTCGGATCAAAGATGTTCTAGCTAGGAAGTAGATGGTGGAGAAATGAGATGATTAGAGCAACTACGATGAACTTGGATTTCCTTCAAGTGAAAGCGACTCTCGATACAAAAGCTGCATGGCTCCTCCTGCGTTTGCTCTCTGGAACTTGGTGTGGGAAGGCGGTTCCAACCTCACAAGTCGGAGTCAGGGAAAGAACCATCGATGCCTCGCAGGATAGCACCTCTCTCGAGCGCGAGACTACTACTTGTCCATTTTCAATGTCATTCTTCATCTCCCCGAACGTCAACAAGGTTCCAACGAACATCAGCAAGTCTTCCACAAAGCATCAGCAACTCTAACTAACGCTGCGTCACCACATTATCTCCCCTGACATTCTCCATCTCGCATTAGTATCATCTCGTTTGATTAGCACCAGAACATCTCAAAATGTCTCCTGGCGCCTCCAGCTCCGAACGGGATGGCACGAATGGGCCGCCTGATTCTTCTCAGTCACATCAGCTTACCTCGTCCTCCGACTTGGAGGGTTCGCCAGCTCCATTCGATGCTCAACCATCAACTTCCCGGCAGACGGGGGCGACTGGACCTCCAGCTGCACCACAATCACCCCGAAGGCCATACGCTGCATTCCTCAGGAATCGACCTGCTTCGTCTTCTCCTCAACCAAGATCAACTCCCGAACTACCTCACAGTAGACTTCCTGGCTCGCCTAGACCAGCTCCATCCGATGCTCAACAATACACTTCCCAGCAAACGGGCGCGAGTGGACCTCTCGCGGCACCACGGCCCGTTCGGTTGTCATACGCTGCGGTCCTTAGGTACCAGCCTGCTTCGTCTTCTCCTCCACCAAGATCAAGTTCCGAGCTACCGAACAGCAGACTTCCTGGTTCGCCTGTACCAGTTCTTCGGTCCTCGCCACCGATAGCTCAGGGTCGAACATCTCGGCTTGCACCTATGATGAGGTCATCCCCACTTCTGAACGGCACGAACAGATCTCCCAGCTTGAGCAATCAATCTCCTGTGCTTCTTCCTCCTCAGAGATCAACTCCCGATCCAGCGGGCCTCAGACCCCCCGGCTCTCCCCGGCCAGCACGTCTGACGTCTCCGTCGAGCTTCAGCAGTGATGCAGGCCAGTTTCCCCCCCTCCAAACGTCAATTATCGGACAGGCGGGCGAGAGTAGGCCTTCGGAGGCGCCCCAGCTAGCACGCCGTGGCTCTTCTTCCGAGCTACCGACCTTGGCTGGTGCTCACATATCGACGCGTGCCACCACAAATGACAACGTACCGATCCCCTCCACCCAAAATAATGCAGCACAGGAGATACCTGCGCCGAACCCGCCGGGGACTTCACAGGACGCTATGGACTGGACTCCTGACGTTGACGTTACGGTCGACGGCACCAGCCGCTCCGGAACAGGAGATATACAACAGCCGACCCAAACACAGCAACGCCAGGACGGTTCACAGATGTGTTCTACGCCTCCACCACCTCATTCTGTTTCAAGATCTCGTTCTCCGCGCGCGAGAAATCAAACAGGTTTCCGAAGCCGCGAGGATAGTGCACAGTATGTGTCACTTCCAAGCTTGCGGCCATTGATTGACTAACATCACCTAGGAACAGCGGTGCTCTCCGGAGGGGGCCTTCCGTTCAACCAACTCAGGGTAATATCCTGCCACGCAATATTCCTGGGGCTACTTCAGCAGTGCCTACAGTTCAGGCACATGCCTCCTCGAGTAATGATTTTACAGTACCGTCAGAACTGCCTCAACCGAGGCCAGAGACTATCTGGAGAGACGAACTTGACGGTGAGTCCATGGAGATAGACCGTTCGCCACATCCCTCAAATGACGGGAGCTCAGCTAGCCCCTCGGTGCCGGAGCGAACTCATGGATCTTCATCTGAGAATATAATCAACGATGACTCAGTCACCCCTCAGTCTAGTGCCGACGATAACCTCGCCGATCCTAGCTTCCATGCAAGCTCTGCATTTGAAGAACTCACGCAAAACACTCCATTGGATCACGACACACGACCGGAAGACCCCCCCAGAGATAGCTACCCACCTTGGATGCAGAGTAGATCAAGCATGCTCCTCCCCCATCCCAGCTCTATCCTATTGTCTGACGGACAACAAACCCTTTCTCTGCCTTACGAACCACCGCAGACAGTTTCTTCGATAGCCCAGCCTCAAACGGACACGGGGCTTGAGGAAGATCTCGGGGATTTTAACGTTGAGCCCGAGTCATCCAGTTCCGAGTCGCCTTAGATGTAGTCGCTTGGTCTAGTTTAAACAAGGAATGGGTTGTTTAGAGCGCGGATTATTACGAATGATGGAGCGGTTAACCATTAGCCCAGCGTCACATGCAAAAATAGATGTTTACTTGCGACGAGACTGCTTAATGCCTACTGCCGTGATCTGAGAACCGCTATCATCTGCCAGAAAGCGATTTGATGCTAAGGACAAGCACCGGAATGCCTCTTGACATTTTAATCGCAGCCATCAGTACATACTGGTCACCTGGGAGTTTCTTTGCGCACCGATCCGACCACGGACCCGCGCCGACCAACTGGGAAACCGACGACCATCTCCGAGCCTCATCGTCGGTCTGAGGACCATTCAGAGAAATAGCGTCGTCGAGTCCTGTAGAATGAGAGCCGATCATCTCCCAAATCGAAGCTTGAGCGTCGTCGTTTGTGTTGATGAAGCAGCCGAGGCGGTCTTCCCCCGCAACTTCCTTGACGGCAACGGTGGCCTTGCTGCTGTGAAGATGAGGTGACTCACAGTGCGTCACCGAACATTGCAGAACGACTTGGTGCGCATGCAACTCGGGGAGCCTGAAAAAGTCGATCCCATCATCTGCAGGCCCCGGTCCTGGGAAAGTGCCGGGAGGGATTGTTGATCTACAAATCCCAAGCCGTAGTGGACCGTCGTCTTCCAGTGAGACGGTGAACACGTCCAGGCCTCGGAAATCCTCGTCAACTTGTTGGTGCGACATTGTAAGGTACATCGGGAGCTGGGTCGCAAAGGTGATTACGGCCCGTGGGATATAGTAGATGTAGTGTGCGCATAGTCTGGACACTGGCAAATTAGTGTTAGGGGTGCCACCCTGCACCTCAATACACAGAAATCCATCAAGCGACCCTCGCTCGCTTGAGGCGCCGTCGAGCCTTTCCACAATCATGCACTTTGGCCACAATAAGCACCTACGTCCCCTGTCGACCAGAGTTCTCGGCAGTTGGACGTGTAGACCGCGGCTGGTGATGGTGGGGGGCACATTTGGAAGCGTATTATCGCCCAGACTGATTTCCGACCAAGGATGCAACAGTAACACGTGTTTCCACCTCCAAGTCACTATGGAACCAACTCTGTGGCCCTGGAGATCGACCATTCTGATGTTTCGGAAGGCACTGGGTGCCGGCGCGAGAACACCGTGTGCGGCTGGTCGTCGCGAAAGGCCTGTCCACAGGAGGATGCTAAGGTCCTCTGACGTGCGGAGTATCTCATGTTGAAGGCGGATGAATGCCTGCGGGCCCTCTCCGTAGAGCAGAGGCATATGTATGCCGAATATGCCTAGGAGACAATAAGCAAGGTCCTCCTGCCTGGTGGTTTCCCTCTTTGAAGCCCAAGACATCCGTTCTCCGGCAGAAATGGCGGTATGGGTGGTTGTCCCGTCTAATATGTCGCGCCGAATACCCGTCTTGTCATGTAGCAAGTCGAGCAGAGACGCCTTGGTGCCGATTTCTTCCCAGTTCTGGTCGTAAAATTCAACTGCTCTGGGAGCTATAAGCTCTTGAAGAGTCCATCCTCGGGTAAACCATTTGGCATTGTTGAATTGGCGGCGATCGACATCCCCCGGGTACTGAGATGGCAAATCGCTCAGGTAGACGTAGCAAACTCTGGCCTGCCGATACCACCGAAACATGGAGTTGATGGCCTCGGAGAGCTCGGCGCTCGATGTCTTGTCGATGCAGCACGTGTCTAGCCAAGCCCAGTCAAAACCGTCGCGACGGGCCTGTGCACAGCATGCCTCAATCTTGAACCCTTTTTTGGACCGCCCAGCAGTGGTTGACAAGTCCTGGAGACTCACTTCGTCATTTTCCCAGGTGTGAGAGAGGATGGCGTATGGAGGAACGTCGCCGATAAACTCATTGAGATCGAGCGTCGTGGTGTGAAGAAGCCTCATGTTGTCTCGCTCTCAGGGACAAGCTCGCTGGTTATGCGCCCAATTGGTTGTGGATGTTGAAAGCTGACAATCAGGCTAGCGGTTGGGATCGGTGGGAAAGCGAAGCACCCCAATTGGTAGCCAAGACGAACGAATTCGTCGCGCATCTTGCTGCACCTGTCATTGGCCACAGGCGGCTGCATCATCAGTAGCGGTTCAGATAGAGCTGGATGACAGCCTGATGGAAAGTCAGCAGGAGCTTGTCCGTCAGATTAGCCGTAAGCAACCAGGTTTCCCTGGATCACAGCATCACAAAAGTAAAGCAAAACACAGTTGAAGCATCATTCACCATGGCCTCCCTCCAAGCATCGACGTGGCGGACTCTTGGCCTGTCTGTCGCAGCAAGCTACACGGTCCTCGGGGCGTTGGACGTCCTCCTTCCGTACCGGGCGGGGTATGAGTTCTTCGGGCTCCCGCCGTCGGATGCGGTAGGGCGACTGGTGCCGCTCCTCGGAGTACGGGACCTGGCAATCGCAGCAGCGCTGTTCGCACTCGCGCGGCAGGGCAAGGGCCCGGAGATGGGAACGGTGATCCTCGCCGGAACGATCCTCTGCGTCTGGGACGCCGTGGCCATTTGGCAAGCAAAAGGGCCGAAGTTGTGAGTAGCTTGGCTAGCGAAATGAGACCGGGCTCGCTGACATGATGACACTCGCAGAGGCGGAACCATCGCGGCCGGGGTGGTTGTCGTGACGGCCATCGGCATTGGACTGGTGCGGTCATGAGACGAGGCAGCCAGGGGATGGGTAGCGCAGCGCAAAGTGAAGGGGCAATTCGGTCCTCATGATCCCATCACCGAGGCTGCGCGTCTGTGGTTTCTCCCAGGGTCCTGCAGCTGGGTTGAGGCAAACTTGGTGGCATGACGGGTGGAGGAACGAGATTGGCGTGGGCGAGCTAGGTTCCGTGGTTCCTCAGGCGTGTGTGGCTTTGGGGGTCTCCCGTGCGCCAGACGTCATCCGTCGTCAGAGTCATCAGGGGGCGCGCGGGCCGAGAGCTTTGGCAGCTGTCGCATTGGATGTTTCTGAGCTTTCCATGCAGCGGCATCAACGGTCGTTTAAATCGATAAAGGCATTTACCAGACGGTATCAAAGCAGCCGACGTCTCCGAGGTGATGGAGCTGCAACATCAGATGCAAATGGCAAACAAACACATCCCATGGAGAAAGTTCAGCAAATGGGAGCTTGCCATGACAGCTTCCCCCAATCATGGAGCTGAGGATCCTCAGGCACAAAGTGCAGCTTCGGGCAGGGACTGGGCAGGGCAAGCACTAGAGGCAGGCACTGCTTGCCGTGTGGTGATGCAATGGGGAGGGGCAGTCACTGCTTGCACGGGTGCGCTTTCCCCAGGCTCAAGGGTCACGGGCGGGGTAAAACCAGGTCTCATGCAGCAGCTGCGGCCAAACAGCTTCCCTTCTCTGCGCGAAAGCGTCTCCCGACCCCCAGCGAAGTGAGTGACAGACCACATTCTCGACCTGCTGGACTGGCTTCTACCTATCGAAGCTCTCCGTCCCATGTGCCTTGTGCCTGAGCCAGCAAGCGCCCATTGCCATACCAACCTGCCTGCTTTACTTGCTGGCTTGATTGTTGCTTTCCAGACTGAAGCGAGGTGGCTGACGTCCGAACGAGTACAAAACACCACCACCTCCCATTCAGCCCCTCTTTCCTCCCGCCTACATCAACAACACCGACACTACAACCCATACCCATCGCGAACCAGACTTGCACTTGCAACCAACCGGATATCCTGAATCGTACAGCTTGTCCAGTCCACGAAAGCAAGGCGGAAGAAGCTTCTGCACATCTCAATACCACTGAAAAACAAGGCGAGACATCCCTCGACCCAGAGACAGTTCGCCCCGTTCGACCGCAGATACGAACCCAGAACCAAAGGTCCAAACAACCAAGAACCATCAAACTACCCCGGCAAAGCACCAATCCACCATGGCCGACGACAGCACCAACAACACGCAGCAACCCGCCGTCGACGAGACCCCCATCTCGCCCTCTCGCGGCGACCGCAAGAACTCCCTTGAGGCACACCTCCAACACCGTCCCGACCGGGCGGAACTCGTCGAGAGTGAGTCTCGCCCGTCACCCAATCCCTCGCAATTCGCCTTCTTTGCCTCACGGCCTCACTTCCCTGTTTTCCCCTTTTTCGAACTACCACCGGACCCCTGCAACCACTCTTCCCTCCAAACCCCACCACCCGTCTGCCCGCCTCACCCGCCGATCCCAACCACTAAACCCAGAGCATCCACCCGCCGGCGCATTATGAACATCACCCCATGATATCCCCAACTAGCAAACCCTTGAGCATCGTGACCACAGCGAGACTGACCACAACCCGCCTCGCAGAGAACATCCTTCCCGCATCCAACGCCGCGCCGTCTTTGATCGCCCACCAGAAGGAGCTCGAGATGCACATGCGCGCAGACTCCCTCAACGACAAGCTCTCCCACCGTCCCGATCCCCAGGAGCTCGTCAAAGAGGGCGTGCTCAAGGAGGACCCGCGCACCGCTGAAGACAAGTACGCCGAGGCCATCGAGGACGAGTACGCCAAGCGTGAGGGCGGTGCTTAAAGACGTGCCGTTCACAGCCTCATCATGGCTCCCCATCAATTGGGGCGGACGGGATTGATTGTGGGGAAGTGAACCCGGCACTCTTGCGATTGCGATGCGACGTCAACGAGCCGCTGCGGATGACTTGCAATACGATGTAGGATCAATCGCACTTTGCAGTTTACATGTGGAGGCGGACGGGTCCCTTGTTTTCCTTGATGAGATATGAATAAACATCCAAACCGAATCACACCCAAAAACAGGTCGAATTGACGCTGGAACCAGGCAATGCGGGACGTCTTTTTCCTTGCAGATGGGTATCTTTAGCTAGCTGATCTACTTGTTTCCCAAAATATCACAAAAAACAATAATCACGAACAAACATACTCGCGCCATCGTCTCCATCAGCCCTATCGTAAATGCTACCATGATGCACACAATCAAGATGCGATGACATTTCAGGGTCCCCATCCCATCCATCCCGTCGTACCCATCCCCATCCGTCTATTCTTGGAACACTCCCGTCCGGTCGAGGGTCGTTTACATGTGAACAGGCCCCTGTCGGATTCGCATGACCTCATCGCCTTGCTCCGAATTCCAGAGCCAGTCCCTCTATCCCAATTATCTGCTGCACTTCGGAGCTGTTGTTCCCTACCTGCAATGTCAGCGGGCCCAGGCCTGGCGTGGTGGTGTCTCTCTCCTCTCTCAAAGCCACTCCAGCACTCATAGCTGCCAGCTGCCCTTGCATGAAAGTACCATACTGCGGTAATGCAGGGCACCCAACCGCCGTAGCGAATCACCGGCCACCCGACCGCCCAGCGTTGCAGCGCCCGTACCTACGTACCCAGCTCCTCGGGGCATTTACTCGGGGCCTCCCTCAGGGAAAACAAGGAAGGGGGACCACTGAGACCCCAAGGGTCCACGGCGGCACGGGGGGAGGACATGTTTTGCAGCAGCCGGATTCTGCACGTCAAACAGGCACGGGACGAGGAAAAGAACGAAGCAAGTCATTCACGACGGACAGGCATTCACTTTCGAAAATAGTAACTGCAAAACATAATTATGGGACGCCGAAAGGGGAAGGAGAGGTCTCTGGGCAATGGGGAAAAAACAATGATTTGTTTGAAACCAGGTGTTGTTGAAGAAGACGCTGTTGGCTGCCAATGCATCGCCCGCGAACCCCAATCTAATCTAAACAGGCACATATACACACTGCTATGCTATGATGGTACAACAATCTGCAAGTAATCAATCCCGTGCCTCCCTCATGCCCTATGGCCCCGTCGTCTTGGGTCCCTCCGCGTGCAACTCGCATTATCATCCTTGCCTGTGAAAAATCTCCAAATATTTCTCCGATATCCCATAAATGATACAAGTATGCCGTACAAATGTTGTCGCTGCCGTCGATGCCCCCTGATGCCCTACTCCCTTAACGCCAATGTATGCAAAACAAAAAGATGATGATGATGAACTGTGATGTGGTATCGATGTCGATGGCTCAGGATCGACGGAAGGTGCCGCCGTAGTTTGGTGACGGGGCGCCGTGCTCATAGCCAGACTGGTTGCGGTTGACTACCGTGACTCTCTTGGAGGAGACCTTGCTCGAAGACATGTGGTTCTCGGCGCCGTGGACGCGGTGGTAGACGGGGTCGGCTGGTGAGAGCGAGCGAGGGGTGTAAGAGCCGTTGGAGGATGGGTAAGAGCCCGAGGACGCGGTGTAGGCGCTGCTGATGGAGGGAGCGGCCTGGTGGATGATGACTGGTCTGGAAGACATTTTGTGTGATGTGAGGTTTTGTTTGTAAGGTGTGGTGTTGAGGTTGGTCTCGAGAACGGTGACTTGGTCGAGATGAGAGAGGGTGAAGACTCGGTTGAGGAAGATGGCTTTGTGTAGACAGATGTTTGGTTGCTTGCTTGGTGAGAGGCGAGAGCAGGAAGAGGAGAGAGGTCGAGGGCAGGATAGATATATACTTGGAAGAGGAGGACTGTTTGCAAACACACTTGATGTGGGATGGGATGGGATGCCTCTATCAAGTACACTGGTACGGGGGCATAGCCATCAGCACTTGCCGGAGCCAGGGTCAAGCCGGTCGTGGGTACAGCAGACAGGACCCATCTGGGTTGCTTGCCTGGCCATGCCATGCATCCGGACCATGCCAGGCCAGGCCGGGAGAAAGACAGCCCTGGGGAAAGTCTTGCAGCCGTGTACGCGGCTGAGCACCAAGTGGAAAAGTGGCCAGGAGACAGGATGTGGTGGTCGCTGGCGCTGGGCGACGGACGGGCGAAGGTGGACAGGCAGTGGGGGCGGGTAGCATCATGGAGCCCCCTTGGACCTCGGACCATGAACCTTGGAACCTGGGGCTGACCGTGAGAAAGAAGGGTGTCTGTCGCCTTGCTGCTGGAAGTCCTT